AAAAAATAAAGAAGCCCCACAGATTAGAAAAACCTAGAAAATATATAAATCTCACAAATGCAAAGTATTCAATTGCTGTTTAAATGTCAGAAAAATTAACATCTTCTCACAAAAATGTTCACAATTACACTTGTAAATGGTTTATGCTGATCCTCTTATTTTGAACTTTATCAGGAGTTTTGTATAGCAGCAGAGAAGTAGAAAAATAGATACAAAGTCAGTAATGGACCGGCTAAAACTATCTGCCTGCTGTTATCATTTCTAAAAAATATAATCAAGACCCTTGGTTACATTTTTAAGGCAGATTATTTACACTATCAATGACACAATTAACATTACAACCTAAAGAAAGTTAAAGCATTAAAAAAATTGGAGGAATAATATGTAGAATTATTATAACAAGAAAAGTAGATAGCCTTTAGATGTGGATTTTGTAGCCTAATCTGGTTATTATTGGGTTATACTGAAATATGTTTGATTAACTAAAGTATTTAACTGTGACAAAGCAAAAAATAAAACAAATTGCTGCTATGACAGAAGTCCATTCAATATAAGAATATAAGAAGATGGGTATTCACAGGCTAAATGTTATTGTTAGAGGGTAACAAATCTCCAAGCATGCTGTACAGAGCAGTTTGCAAGGTATAACAAATGCAACCAATGCATTTCTATTTAATTTGACCAATATTTTAAATGCTCTAAGAATTGCAACAAACAGCCTGACCTCACCCGCACAAGCTCAAACACACCTTACCCTAATGGCTATTTCTCTCCCTTTAAAATGCCTCCTCTGTGCTTCAAGTTCATTTTCAGCTCAGACCAAAGCTGCTCGTTTTGATGCAGACAAACAGATCCTCTGTCAGCTGGAAAGCAGAAGAGGCCCTCCTGAACCGCTTTACCAGGTCGGCTCCAAATACATCGGCTGGGTGTGACTTTGTAAATGTACAGGCTGGTCCAAAACGTCTGTGCTCCAATGTTCTGTCATTTCTGAAGCTCAGGGAAAAAGAACGGATTACTTCCCTATTTTGACAGATATGAAAAGTTTTTAAACATTATTTCTTTATGCAATTTGGACAAAAATTAGATCTTGTTCATCAGTTACAATATTGTTACAGAAAGATTATCTTTGGTCTTCAGGGTTAAACAAGAGATTTTTTTCTATCCACCATCCAGGTAAGTTTGCTAAAGATAATGTGCAATTCTTCAAGTAAATTTTTATGTACTTCGATTACAATATAGATAAAATCTGATTAGAGTGTTTAATATTTTTAAGTAAAAGATAAATCAGTGCTTAGTAAGTTTTTTTCTTATTTCTTAAGTTGATTTACTGACATATAATAACATGAAAAAAAAAAATCAACTACTTGATATCAGATCACGAGTCACATCTTCTGCTATTATCTTTTGTCTTTTATTTGCTTACATTTAATGAAATCTTTTTTTTCTAGATAAAGAAGCTTAGATTTATGAAGTTGAAAGAAATTATAAATATTTTAATTTTATGGGATTGTGAATTTATTTTTCCCCTTATATGAATCAATGCTTCGTAGAGCAACAGCTGTACATCTTTAGGTATATACTGTAGCTTTGCACATCTAAATACATCTCAGTCAGATTTGCTGAAGGCTGTCTGTGAGATGCCAAAGTCTAGGACCATATTTAGGTATAAACCATTTTGATACATGGATATGGTGTAAACTAAATAGTGTCCTAATAGTGTCTATGGGCTGGCATGATATTCAGGTTGGTTGTCCTGTGGGAAGGCGACCCCAGTAGAAAAAAAAAATGTAACCCATAAAAGGTCTATTTACAGAAGAGAATAAGGCCAGTAAAAAAAAATAAAAAAAGTCAACTGATTTTTAGATTTTATTTCAGTATAATATGAGAAAAAATCTCAGAATTCTAAATTTGATCTCAGAATTCTGACTTTTTTCTCAGAATTCTAAATTTGATCTCAGAATTCTGACTTTTTTCTCAGAATTCTAAATTTGATCTCAGAATTCTGACTTTTTTCTCAGAATTCTAAATTTGATCTCAGTATTCTGACTTTAGATTGGTTAGTTGATAGGGCAATGGAATGAGCTATGTTTTTGGCCATTCAGTTGGAAAAGATACGCAAGAGGATTAGGGCCACTGGAAAAAAAAAAAGTTTACTGATTTTAAAATGTTATTTCCGTTTGTGGAAAAAAAGTCAGAATTATGAGATTAAAGTCAGAATTCTGAGAAAAAAAGTCCAAATTCTGAGATTAAAGTCAGTATTCTGAGAAAGAACTCTGAATTCTAAAATTAAAGTTAGAATTCAGAGAATAAGTCAAAATTCAGAGATTGAAGTCAGAATTCTGAGAAAAAAGTCAGAGTTCTGAGATTAATAGTTACCCAAAAACTTAAATCATCCCAGAGTACAATGCTGTCACCACCATGTTTCCCTGTAGGAAGGATATGAAAATATGCAAGCAAGTCTAAATTCAAACATACACTGCTTTATATTTCTGTTTGTACAACATTTTGATAAAAAAGAATAAGATTTCTCCTAGGTTTAAATATTTCTTTAAACATATTTGTTTGTCACATAAATGCTATAAACATTTTTTCATCTGCTTTAGGGATTTGGCCAGACATTTTAACCAAAAACTGTACAATATGATGCAGGTATAAAAAAACAGATTTCAAAAACCAAATCCTCAAAAAAGAAAAAAACAGAGAAAACTAGGTTTAAACTTTAAAACATTACAAGATAAGGAAAGCACTTGGAGAGCCCAGACTTCCGCCATGTTGCAAATCTTGCCCTAAATTGTGACTTAAACCTACAGTAGCTAAAACTCACACATGATCTGGATTATTGTCAAATTGAATCGAATTGTTCCTCGGCATGAGATGCACCTGTGGTAGAAATGTCCATAAAATGTGTTCATAAGTATCCAATTGAGCCTACCAACATTCTTTTTTCCTTTTTTTTTCTTTTTTTTTTTAAATCTTCAGTAAAATTTATTATCTGGACTTTTTGAGTCCAATACAGAGGCTGGCAATAATCAGTGCTGCCACCCTCTGGTTTAGTGGGGAACTGCTTGTTCTGCCAAATATCCTTTTCTCACAATGTTGGAGAATCTTTTAAAAAGTTAATTTATCCAGATTATTATCTGGATCATCACCAACATTTAATATATTATTCCTTTGGATGAGGGAAACCTCTGATACAAATCTAATTAAAATCCGTCAATAACTTTTAAAGTTATCCTCTACAGACAGACACAATCATCTCCTAAAACTCTCATAAAAACAACCTGCTTGGCATTTTGATTATTAAAAATTGTAGATAAAATCATTTGCATTATTTTACTTTCAGAAAACCGAGACCAGAAGGCAATAAATGCACCTGCTTCCCAGGAGAGATTGTTCATTTTACCTTACAGATGACGTCCAAAGAGGTTTGCTTGATATGCTTCTTTAACTTAAATACATGTTATGAATTAAGCGTTTTTAGCTTTTACCGCCTGGCTTTTACAAAACCACACTGAATACTCTTCCAAATGCTAAATGAGGAAAACTTGCTAATAGTTAAAAACTCGTACTGTTCACAAACTGGCCTTGTTGAGTTGTATATCTGAGTGATAATTTTTTTAGAAATATGGGTTGATATCATTGTTTTAAATTTATATTTTCAAAAAAATCTAGAATAAAAAATTTTTGAGAATAAAAAAATATATTTAACAGCTTCATGATAAGAATTTATTAAAGGTTTACAGTTTTACAATGTTTTTTGTTTCAGAGCCATTTTACAGCAACACTTCTGACCTCGATCCTGGGAGCTGTACTCGGCCCCCTGCAGATTGGCTACCATACTGGCAACATTAACGCACCAGCTAAGGTAACTGACCTGCCTCCAAATCTAACCTCCAGACCCATTCATTCAAAAATAAATTTCCCTTTTTGTACTTTGATATTTCATTTTAAACTGTTTGTATCTATCTTTGTATTATGGTGTTTTCTATTTTTTATTATCTGCAAAACACTTTGGACAACACCAGCTTTGTTGGAAACTGTTTTATATATGAACTGTATTAGACTGATTGATCACTCCTTAAACAAACCCTTGGGATCTCCACAAATTTTCAGTAAAGACCACCTTAGTTAGACAACACCAGCTATTATACTCCTGCTTTTTTTTGTGTTAAATCAATAAAAATTATAACTGCTTTGTTCCCACTAAATTAAAACCCATTCATCATTGACAAAAAAAATAAATAAATAGAAAAATAAACTTGATTGCCTATCCAAGAGCAGAATAACACAATCGCTATACTTTTTTAGATTGTCAAGGTTGTTTGGTTGTTTAACTATTTATTTAATGCCAAACAGGTATCATTATTTCTTTCCTCCTGTATCTTCATTTTTAGAATATTCTTTATAAATGTGATTTTTTTTTTTTTTTTGCATAAGTCTGGCAAAAAATGGCAATGAGCCCTAGAAAAAAACAAGATGGTCAGACAGTGGTCGCCTAGGTCTTGGAAATCTAAAAAAAATAAATAAATAGATCAAATGGACAGCAGGAGGAAATCAAAGAAAGACAACACAGGATTGTGAATTTAGCAATATCCTAAAAGCTCTATGGCTCAGCTCCACAGGTTGCTTCCCCAGTTGGCAGATTTCTCTCTCCATCCATACATTTTCTGTCACGCTTTATCCCAAGCGGGGTCACAAGGGGTGCTGGTGCTTATCTCCACCCATCTATGGGCGAGAGGCGGGGTACGTACTAGACAGGTCGCCAGTCCATCACAGGGCAAATTTTCTATCTACTAAACATAAACCAAGCAATCTTTGTAAAGCACATAACTTAACCTTTTGACCAAACTGGAAAATCCACCTTACCAGGAGGTTTCCTGCCTTAGTGGAAGGCAGTAGGACATTAGATTGCTAATGTTCTACTGTCTACTGATATATAGCCTCTTCTTTATCACTTATCTTTAGATCATTGAAGAGTTTTTCAACAGCACATGGCGAGCCAGACACAACCAGTCAATGACAGATCACAGCCTGACTCTACTGTGGTCACTTTCTGTCAGCATGAAGGACTTTGGAGCTTTGCTGGGGTCTCTGGGAGTTAAATACCTGGCAGATTCATACGGCAGGTGGGAATTTCAGAAAACAAAAATAAAAAGTAGCAGGATGTCTGCAGTCTAGATGAATATTTGTTTTTGTTCTCCCTATGCAGACGTAACTCCATCCTGATTGCTAACTGTCTGTCCGTGGCAGCAGCATGTATTATGTTTGCCTCTAAGGGCAGTGAATCATTTGAAGTTCTCATCCTGGGACGAATGGTGTTTGGTCTGTTCTGCGGTCTTGTGATGAGTCTCAACCCCCTTTACATCCAGGAAGTGTCCCCAACCAATCTGAGGGGAGCCTTTGCCACACTTAATCAAGTGTCATTAACCTTCGGGACCTTAATAGGGATGGTAAGGAGGGTACCACTTTTCTTTTGTTTGGGTGTCTTATCTTGTTCTTAAAAATCAGTACATGAAGGTTACATAAAGTCTTTGCTGTTTGCATCAGGTGGCTGGCCTGGAAACAACGCTGGGTACAGAGAGTAACTGGGCAATGATGCTGTCCCTGTCTCTAATCCCCGCCCTAACACAGTATCTGATCCTGCCTTTCTGCCCTGAAAGCCCTCGCTACCTCCTGATAAACCAGAGAAAGGAAAAGAAAGCAGAAGCTGGTGAGTGAGTCTCACAATATGGGCGGCTTCTTCTTCTTTAGGAATCACCGGAGATAAATTCAACTTCAGAGTTACAGAACAGCTGTTACAGGTTTCACTAGTAAAAATACCCTCACCTTTATTATTCTGCATTTTTTTGTATATGACAACCTAAAGAATTAATATATTGATAGTCTTCATGCAGTGTTTAAAATATTCATACACATTTAAGAATATGTTGCATGCATTTGAATATTAAAAACAGCTTAAAGGGACAATTACTGTATGAGAGAGTAAGTTGAGGTTAAGGAAACCTCAGGTGTTGTTAAGTTTGCATTTGTTGTAACTTCACATGGAATACATTTTATTCACAGTAGAATCAGGAGGGAATACAAAATGGCTAACTGATTCATATTTTAATAATTTTTTTGATGACAGATTAATCTGATAACAAAACATGGTTATTAGGAGTTTTAAGTGAAGCTAAATCTATCCTTTTTAAGGATTGAGCCAATATGGTTTGGTTGGTTGCACTAACCTCAGGTTAATATTTAACTGATCACAAAATTAGTTAAAGATTATTTCAGTCTGATTCTAACTGTATTATCTGGTTGAATTGCAAACTGCCTTAAGATGACATGTGTTGTCAATTGGCACTATATAAATAAACTGAACTGAACTGAATTGAGTGATTCTTTCAGCCCTGAAGGAGATTGGGATGGATGGTGTGATTTAAATTTAAATTTTGGTTTCAATATATTAGCTTTGTCCTGCCAAACACAAGGAGAAATGTGCTGAGTGATTCCTCTGTGTAAAACACACCTGAAAACTGTTTCTAGGAGGAAACAGTACCTTTTAAAGGCTAAATACAGAAATAATAATAATTATAATAATAATAATAATAATAATAATAATAATAATAATAATAATAATAATAATAATAATAATAATAATAA